AATCACTGTTAGCGTAGCGAAGTCTAAATGGAAATTACTGAAAATCTGAGTGGAATCAATGCAGACAGTAACAGTCGCAATACTTAAAAAAATTTTCCTTCCGGACAAAACACGTCCGAACCGGTCCGAGCACGTTGAGCGAATATTCCATTCGATTCGACTGTGAACTTTCGTCGCGCATAATTTTTAAAAAGCGTTATCTCGCGCGCGCGCCCTAGCTCTCTTCCGGCGGTATCGAACGGGCCCCGAGCCGAGAGCCGAGCCAATCGAGACCGGAGTATCGAAGTACCAGGGCCACAGTGGCCACACGCCGCGCACAGTGGTGTCAAGCGTTTCACTTCCATGGCACGTCCCGGCGCCGCGGCGATCGGGATCTGAGATCTGAGTCCGAGTCCACCGTCGCGTGGACCGTTCCGCGGAGAGGACGCGCCCCGAAAGGTCGGAGGATCCCCCCGGAATATGGCGATCGAGATTCCCGCGCGAGGAAACGCCGTCCGCCAGCAGCGGCAGCGGCAGCGGCAGCGGCAGCGACAGCGACAGCGACAGCGGCACGCGTCCGCCCGCGAGGCACGCACGTGCGCGCACGAAGCAACGACGATCGAACGGCGCACCGCCCGCACTCGTCGGTACCGGCGACGCGCGGCACCGACGACGATGGAGTGACTCGGAAAGAGGATCGATGCACGGGTACGTACCACACACACGACGATACGCCGATCGGAGTACTCGGACTACTCGGAATATCGCAGCGAGAGACGGGAAACGGAGCCGCCGTGCCACGTGGCGTGTACTTCAGGTCGGTGCATGACCTCGCGTCCCTCCGTGATTTTCTTCTTTACTTTCGAACCTTTACTGCTTTACTTTCTGCACTCTCCTCGCTAGAGACTGCTCTTTTCTCTTTTTTTTTCTTCTCAAATGAGAACAGTATCCGCTTTGTTTCGAGCGCGGAAAATATAACGGCTGCTCTTCTTGCGTTTTCTGTGCTTTCTTTGTTTAAATAAAAAATATAACGGCTGCTCTTCTTGCGTTTTCTGTGCTTTCTTTGTTTAAATAAGACAAATTCGAACTTGGAAAGAGAAAGAAGGCAGGAGAACGAAGTGTAAAAGGTGTAGCAGAAACGAGATTTTATCTGAATTTCTTTAAAATATTACTTTAAGATAAAGATAAAATGTAGTGAAGCCAGGAGATGGAAGATTAATCACATGAAAGTTAATTTTAATGGAACCACACAGCACTACGAAGTAAAAGTAATTAAGTTCAGTCAAAGATGTGTCGGAAATAATTTTACCGTGAATGTGTTATAACGGATTAAGTAGAGCTTTTGAAAGCGTGATCAGATTAGCTATCAAATAGATTTTTCAAATTTTTGAATAAATTTTTTTAGGCTCTGAAAAAGAAGAAAATTAAAGCTTCTTGTTCGCGTTTTATATTATTACATTCAAATCATGCGAAAATCACATTTATATAGAGTCGATTGTGTATCTTGAAATAAGATAAAAATGAGGTAATTCACTTTTGTTCACTTTAGTAAATTTCATCTTGTTTCGAAATGCAATGCATTAATTGATCCCCACGTGGCCGTTTGATTTTACTTTTTCAGCCATCCAGTAGAATTATACATGATCGTAGAGACGTAGATAATTGAAATAATAAATAAATTAAAGTAAAATATAGATGATCGTATAAGTGGAGTATCATCGAGGATAATTGCGGGGTACACTTAATTTTCATCGTCAGGCGAGAGAAGAACTCGAAATTGAATGGCCATATTTAGCGTTGCGCGTAGCGCGGGGCATAGAGAGCGGCGATGAGGAAAAAAAAAACGAACAAACCCGGGGATGTGAGTTAGCAGAATTCCAGCCGCCGCGCGTACGAACGTATTGGGCGGGTCGACCAATCGCGCGTGTTGTCACGTGCCACGTTGCCGCGCGCGACGATTGCGACCGGCCAATCGGCGCGCGGCGCGGCGCGACCGCGCCATCTGTCGCGCGACTGGGGCAAACGCTGACCAAGATTGGGGCCGCTTCTGACCGCCTCTGGCCGAAACTCGTCTCGCAGCCGTCGCCATGTTTAGAAGTGTGTACGCGTCCTTGGGCGTGCGGTGTGACGATGCATTGTAAAATATTAGATATAGCTCATGCGCCGTATGTTACGTGAGGTACCCAATTGCGAGTCGACCCACGCGGGACACGGGCGTGACGTTCATTCCCGTGGATGGCGCACCTACGTCGCGGTAATTTGTGATTACATTATGGTAAGTCCTGGCCGTCTCGGAGCCAACGCCAACATGGCGGACGGGAGATTTCCTTTGTATCACGCCGCGCCGCGCCGCGCTGTGTCGCGCGGTCTTCCCCACCCGCGTCGGCGGCCGAGCATCGTCGGCGAGGCTGTTTCCTCGCGTTCCCTATGTCGTCGCGACGCCGACGCGCGGCCGGACGTCTCTCGCCACTCGTCTCACGTCTCGCTCTCCCGACATGTTTCGTCACCGGCGCTCGCCTCGATATAGCATGTCGCTCCCTTCGACGCACGCACGAACGTACGACGCTCTTGAGTAGCCCCCCCGGATTTTCTCGGGCCGTTTCTTCGGCTCGCCGGCTCGGCATCACGCGACAATCGCGTTGACATATCTCCCTGTCTGGCGCTCCGATCCCCCCTTGCGACATCCCGTCGTCGTGCACATTTCAAATTTCGCGTATATTGTACGTCGCGCGGGGTATTTGTTCCCTCCCCCCTTTTTTAACGCGAATCGACGGAACCGTGCATCGCCTCCTTCGAATTCGCCGCTTTTTCCCTCGCTTTCCCTCTTGATTCATGTTTATAAACGATCGATTCTGCTTCCATCGAACTAACGAGCTTGTCTAGCGAGCCATTGTTACTATCACTTTTTTTTTATGTGTCATCCGAAACATTTCTTTATCTGTCCTTCTTCTGTTGTTTTTCTTCGACAATTTGCAATTAAATTACGCGACTGTTTTGCAGGTGCTGTGTGTATTCTAGAGGATAATTTAAATCGATATTGAATTTATTTATTAAAATATGTTTATTAAACCTGTCTTAAAATTTCTTTTTTTTAAATATGCTTACTCGTTCAGAATATATTATACTATCAAGATATTTTTACATTTATTTTCATTTTTTTGCCAGTTTATAATTAAATAAGGAAATAAGGATTGTGTGTGTTTTATATATTAAAAATATATCAGTTTATTGAACTATGAATACCGATTGATCGCATAAATTTTCAGTTTTTTACGTTTATTTATGTAGCTTAATAAGCACATTAAGCTCAATATTGTATACATTATCATTTTTTTATGTGATATTTTATATTCAAATAGGGGATAGGTAACACTTTATGTATTCTTTAACTGACACTTTACAAATGTCTTATTTTTTAATACTTTTTTTGTTTTTTTTTTTGTATTTTATTAAAGTAGTAATTGATAATCCTTCAGTTTACTCGATATAATCTTTTTATTTTTAAACTCTAAATTTCAAAATGCACTTTAAACATTTCATATATATAAGAAATTGAAGTATAGGTAGCTTGTTTTTTCATTAAAATTGAAACGTGCTTCTGCATTCACAAATTAAAACAGCAATTTTGAAGTATTTATAATATATTTATAAAAAGAATCAAAATATAAAAACGTATTGTATACTGAATTATATTTATTTTCCATTATTAAAGAGTAATCTCTTCAAAGAGTTAATGTTCGCTCTTCGCATGAGAAGATAAATTTATTATGTGGTACAAGAGTACATTGTGAGTCACCGTATAATACAGCGCTGCTTTGTCTTTTTAGTGTAACGTGCAATGAGTGATAAACAGGGTGCACCTATTTTACCACCCCTTAATCGGGGTGCGGCTAATAATGGCGGAAATAACGGAAGTTCAGCTCAACAGACTGTCAGTCTGCAGCAGGTTCTCGCTACCGCTCAAGGCCTCAACGTGCTTGCTACTACTAGTGGGCAACAGTTCGTTATTACGACTCAGGTTCCTGGTCTCACACAGGTATCTACGTTTGTACAAATAACCAGAGTTTGCATATTATGTTTCATGAAACGGATATATGTTACAGTCTTTTAAATAACGATGGATGATAAATATATTCCTTTCATAAAGTGTATGTTTTAACTAGCTTCATTATTTGAAATATCTTGATTAGCAATTAATAATTTAATCACACAATCGAGTATTTTAATTTTTATTTTTATTATTCGTTGGTCATTAATAGTGTTCGGTAATTGTGATGGTCTATCATTAATTTAATTAGCCAATAATTGTACTTGGTAACAATTGCTGAAGATAGTTTTAATCTCTATTATCTTTTTATTCTGTAACTAACAATTTGCATAAATTTGACGTAATTTTGTAATAAAATTTTCTCCGCTTGTGATTAGCACTTACGTGTCTTTACTCGCAGGTCATACCGAACAATGCCACATCTAACACGAGCGGAACGCAACAAGTTGGTGTCACAAGAATCGTCAACATCGCGGGCACACCACCGCGCAACGTTGTCGGCATTGCCGGCACGTCGCCTCATTCGTCACCGGCGGTGTCGCGGTCACAGAACTCTACCAAGCTTATGCTGACAACGTCGCCGAAACTCGTACGCACCTCTATAAGCAACGTGTTTGTGGCGCCAATGTCGTCGTCGTCGTCGTCGTCGTCGTCGTCATCGTCACAGGTATCGTCGCCGCAGGTACGGGTACAATCGCCGCCGCCACCAGCGAGGAAACGACTGAAACTGTCGGAAACGATGGAGAAACCTATTTCATTCGACGCCAGCGGTTGCCGTAGGCGGATAATGGAGCACAAGATGCGGCGGATGCGTAGCGTACGTGAGAAGTATGCCGAGAACGCGTCAGAACTGTTCTTTTTGCACGCCGGTGGCAACATGATGGACTACCATACCTGGCGGAAGCGATCTCCGACACCGCAGTTTGTACACTTTCTGCGTCAGCATCGACTTGATCCGGATGACGATGACGAGGATCTGACCGCGCCACTGTCGTCGATACCGGAATTCTCGCAGCTGTCTGCTGTTACCACTACTATTGCTACTACCACGACAGTTACTAGCGCCATCGTCACCTCTACGACTACTGTCACAACTGTCACATCCGGCTCCACGGTAGTCCAAATCCCGAATCAAAGAGCGGAGGTTAAAATCGCTGGGGCGGGCGTTACGCCGGTAGCGGTATCCACCACCCTGCCTGCTGCGGCTCTAGCCCAGCTCAGTCATCAAGGTAATTATAAATAGTGGTACAAAGGGTCTAATTCTTTGTCGTTACTTCGAGCAACGATGATCTGATGTTTTCATCTGATGTTTTTGATTTTTGATAACATGGTCAGAGGTCTTGATATTACATTCTCTTATTATTTTGAACGGAAAAGACTATCATTAAAAACGTGTGTAAACATCATATATATTACACTTCCTGAACAAATCGATTCGCTCTCTAATTGAATTCCGATGAATGTTCCGTAAGCATCACACATATTCCTCGTATTTTAATAGCGAAAATTCGTGTTTGTTGTTTACTGTTCATTCAGTGTATTTTTAATTTTAAGTGTTTAGTCGAATTTGAATATATAGTCGCCTTTCTCTATTCTAATCGTAAGATGAGCCAAAGAATTTTTTCTATCCTAACATTTTTTCTTTAATCTCTTTCAAGTTGCGCAAAATAAGGATGTTGTACGCTCTGTCTTCCAGTCACTTGCTCATTCTCACGTAAAGGAAAACTTAGAATACGAGTTCTTAGACTAGAGAAAATCGACTGAATATTGTCATAGCTTTATTGGATTATGACGTCATAAGCGAAAATAATAATCCTTTTCTCACCCTATATGTTGAAGTAGATTACTCTTTCTCCTGCGTATCACAACTAGTGTACGACAGATGTCATATTTACGAGAGAGATATATGAAGAAATTTTGCAAGAAATTGAAATAGTATTTTTATATAATTATATAAAAGAAAGATACAGTTTACAGATATAACTTAAGCAATCAATTCCAAATTTGTTTTAATATGTATTCTTCGTAATTAATGTCTAATATTTCTTGGATTTTCACCATTATTCTATCTATATTTTTATTTGTGTTTTATATATATGTTATTTAATCCTCCATTTCCCTCGTGTTAGGCAATCGCTAACGTTACATCTTATTTCTTTAATTTTTTTATTTGCATAGATATAAAAGTTGACTCTAAAACTTTTGACTTTTTATAACTTTACAACTTTTTATTTACTTTTAGATTATATTTATATGGTTTTCTAAAATTTTGTTAGTACAATTTTTAGATTTGACTTTGAAAGCGCTATTTACAAGACTATGTTTGGGGCCACTATTTCAGCATCTGTTAACCTTTAACCAACCGTTAACTTTTCAAAATAACCAACTTCTATTGTCTATTCTGAAAAGTTAACGATCGGTTAGAGTTTAACAGACGTTGGGAAATAGTGGCCCTTGATCTAAGAAAACTGTGGCAATGCTATACTATACTATGCTAATACATGACATACAGGCGCGACATGATGCTAACACTAACATTCGTTTGCTAAACGAGGGCAGTGGAGGGTTAAATATTCTTTTTGTAAATAACAACGATCATCTCAAGTTCTCAACATTATTCTATTAGTATCTATTGTGCAATCAGCAAGAAAAAAAATAACGAGAAAGACATTAGATATAGAGCCTTGGATTGGGAGAATTCTCATATCATATAGGAAAATAGTTTGTCATTTATTGTTTGCGGAAGATAGGCGGTTTTCCTTATTCGTGTTGTATTTTAACTGTCATAATGAATTGAAATTCGGCTTGTATAAATAAATGATCATTTGCGCACTTAGGACAAATACCAGGTAGGCCTCAAGGGGGCCGCCATGGCATGGTGTTTGCCTTCCGAGCGGCAATCCAGTCTTCACCAGTCACCATTCACCCTCCATCCGCTTCTACCGTAACACCTACGCTCATTATAGGTGATTACCGCAGATCGCCTGCCATTTGTCTCTTCGTATCTTTGAGCCGATCCATATTGGTTTCGCTTTTGAGCAGTTAGATGCTGCAAGTCCTCATAAACAATTATTTTCACGCATTATGTACTTTCGTGTTATATATTGTACTCTCGACTTGAACTATTGGAACGATGATCAGGAAACGCTCGCCAAAGAACTGTCTGCTGCTACTAAAACTATAAATTAAAGTTCATGTAGAAATTTTGTACTGCCATCTTGAGCTATATAACATCTAATTTTTTCATACTATACATTCACTATACGTTCAATGTATGCCAACTGTATAGAATAAGTCAGACAAGTGTAGCATGTTGCGTATAAATCTACAATAATACTGTGGTGATTGACCTGATCATTATTAAGTGCAAACGCATGTTTTTATTTGAAGCTTGGTAAGAACATTGTATGTCTCGCTACGTTATGCATATGTATACACATGTATATCGTCTCAGACACAAAAGCAGTTTATTTTAATTGACGTATTTGAAAGTGTTTTTGTTTCTCGCGTTTAGTTGTTGTTGTTTTCGACCGTGTGGATGTGTATTATCTCGTTTCTTGCCTGTCTCCTGTGGAGTTACGCTGTCAAAGTATTATCATTTGCCTATCTATTGAACCGTTATTCGCGTGAAGTATATGATACTTGTCTACGTTTGCTAATTTAATACAGAAGTATCTTTGAATAGCATACGCTGTTGTCGCATCCGGCTCTTCGATTTACATTTTGATTTATGTATTATAATTCACGTGATTTATTATAGCAATCTGAAGGCGATGTTATCGTTTCAGGTGGAACGTCAATGGTTGCAGACTCGTCAAAACCGACGACCTCGGCCGCGAGTCAGGTGGTGGAAAAGTCGTCGCCGTCGGTCACCACCGTCGCAACCCCGAAAACACCTATAACAACAGTTGCGCTCAATAGTCCCCAACCTATCGTTAAGCTCGTTAAGTTGTCTACACCCACTACTATAACTACTTCCTGTGATATCACGAACAATCCGGAGCATATTGCGGAAAAACTGCGGCAGGTAATTGCCATCTCTTTCAATCTTTGTGCGGTGTAAAAAAAGTTTACGTGTCTCATTTAAATGTAAGCTCATATATCATCTGGATATAATTTTCTAGTTTTTTTTGTTTTTATTATTATCATTATTATTATTATTTTATTTATATATATAAAAACGAGTCAATTTTATTACTTAATGGATTTTACTTTTTCTTCTATTTTTATCAAACACGTTTTAAGAAAACTTTATTTTATTTAATTATTTTGTTAATATGTATATTAATAATAACTTATATATGTATTGTATGTTTCCTCTTTGCAAAGATTAAATGCATTTTTTATATATTTAAATTTTATGCTAATGGCTACGATTATTGGGATACAGGAGGCGTACGTAGTGCAGAGGATTAAGGAGCTGCAACGCGAGGGATTATGGTCGGAACGGCGATTGCCCAAGGTGCAAGAACCGACCCGAACCAAGGCTCATTGGGATTACCTGCTGGAGGAAATGGTCTGGTTGGCCGCTGATTTCGCCCAGGAGCGTAAATGGAAAAAGGCGGCAGCGAAGAAATGCGCACGAATGGTGCAAAAGTACTTTCAAGAAAAGGCGATTCAGGCGCAGAAGGCTGAGAAGTCGCAGGAGCTACGTTTGAAGAAGATCGCCAGCTTGGTCGCCAAGGAGATCAAAACCTTCTGGACAAATGTCGAGAAAGTAAGCAAACAGCTGAAATTTGCACATTTAGAAACTTGGATGAATCGAGCAATCAATCTTTTTATCAATTTAGTTCAATAAAACAATTTTTGTTTATATATATCATTTTTTATGGAAACTACATTGATTTAGCTTTATTCTACCCCACACTAATTAAGCCGACCTTCTTGATGTATCTTTATCGGAAGCGTGTGCTCGTTGTGGGAACAGCAAAGTCTGCGCATTGTGTATGGTTGTTTTATTTTCTCCTAAATTCAACCAAAGTATTAGCGCAGGACATTCGCATTGAATTACACATATATCAATTAGATAAACCCGAAATCTCGTAAATGTATTTGGATACGAATATATAACATTTCTTATTAACAATTAGTAACAACATTTAAACATTACATAACATTTACACGTTTTAAAAATAACTGTTATAAGTGCAAGATAAATAGGTATGAACATAATTATTATAATAAAGAAAAACAAAATAAAACTAGCCATGAACAATACTAGCAATCTCTCATTATTATAACTCTTGTAATTGCAATTTGCCAACAGTTGGTGGAGTATAAGCAGCAGACGAGGCTAGAAGAAAAACGAAAGAAGGCGTTGGATCAACATTTAAATTTCATTGTGGGTCAAACGGAGAAATATTCCACGTGGCTGACAGAGGGTCTCAACAAGACCGATGGTCCACAGAGTATTCCAGCTTCCATAAATAGTTCACGTATCTCTTCGCCGGTTCCATTGGGAAAATGTCATTCCGACGGTACGTTTAATTTACATAATAAAATATAATTAACTTTTATTTATGATAATAAATGTGCATTGATTAATGCATGTAATCATTAACACACATTAACATGTTCATTCACTTCAATGCCGTTATTATTGAAAATGCAAAATTATTGTGCATGACAAAATTTAAGATTTCTTACATATATAATTATTGCATAGTATAGTTGATAATTACATGACATATAACATTGTCATTTTTAATGCAATGATTTTAATTATTATAATTTATAATAAAACACATGTGCTTCACAGTTTAAGCAGAACTTCTAACCTTTACGCAATGCATAAATTAATACTTGGGGCTTATTGTATACATAGGTTGATTTAAATTACATACATTAAATATTGTATAAATTAATTTAAATTTACCATTATATTTGTATAAATAATCTAATTTTATTGTATAACATTCTATTACAGAGGAATTCCAGCCAAATCAGAGTTCAGATGACGACGAAGAGACCATAGCTAAGGCCGAAGAGGAAATGAAATTAACGACCAATCACAAGGAGGAAGTGGAGTTGTTAAAACGAGAATCGGAAATACCCTTGGAAGATCTTCTAAAGGACTTACCATCAAACTATTTGGAAGATCGTAATAGAAGTCTATCGCCGCAAAGCGCGATGAATGAAGAGGAGCAAAATGTATGTGTTTTTTTCTCAAAAGTAAAATAAATGTTTGAATATACGTCATCTTTTTTGTATAATATTTATATATAATATAAATTGATAAAAACTTAACGTATTTTTATATATTAAAATTATTTTTGAAATTAGTGACAAATCCAATTTTAAAGAACTATAAACTTATCGCCTATTTAAAGATTTACCTATTAAAAAATAAAATGAGATTATGATTTTTGTTACAGGAAAATGAGGAAGCAGTTGATGCAGATGCGGACTTTATCGCGGCGTCCGGTGAATCCTCGGACGAAGAAGATACTATCATGGAAGAGGAAAGGCTCGAGGGAGAAATCGATCATAAGCGGGAGCTCGATGAACTTAAGGTACATGATTCTCTATTTTGAGAAATTATCATGTGATTATCGCAAATCGTTCTTGTCAGACTTAAATAAAACTATGTTCGTACTTATTTAGGCTGACAATGAAATGTCTATCGACGAACTCACGGCCAAATATACAAATATGTCGGACATGTTGATGGACGTGAACGAAGAGGCCGAAGGTGAGTTTTTTAATAGATCTTTTAAAGTTTTTTTTAAATAAATATCTATTATTTTTGTATGAAGTCTAGATCAAGCACGCTTTTTTTATCTTTTTTATTTTATGCGCTACTTGAATGTCTTTGAATTGTTTTACTCTACAAAAACAATATATAAATCAATAGTTTTTGAGTTATAAGCGGCTTAAAGAAAACAACTTTCGTAAATTAAAGCATGAACTTTTATTTATTATTATCTTGATTATTATATAAATGTTTTTATATGGAAATTCTTTTATTTGTATAAATTATTACAGTGATGATACTTTTTACCATCTACTGACAGTATGAGATGTTTGGTTTTCATTTATCTCGATTACTATCCGTGCTGTGAAATGAGGCATTTGTCTGAGAAAATTTCGGAGATTATACATTATTGTTGAAAGAATAGAGCTAGTTGATTTAATCAATTCATTACTCTTTATTTAGATACGGATAAAGAAAACAAGGAAACAGTACAGGAAATCGAAGACCAAATAACTAGCAGCGAAAGTGAGAGCGAAGAGAGCGATTGCGATAGTGACGAGGAAGAGACTCGGACTCAAAGTGATACCGAGGTAGATGTGGGACTTCAATCTCTTCTCGAAGACCCCTCTGCGGAAAAACAATTGGATAGTAGAGTGAGTCTTTTTTTATTTTATATAACAATATAATGAAGACCATTTACTTCAAATTGAATTTTATTATAAACATATAGTTTACTTAATCATCGTTACAAATTAATAATTTTTGTTGAGATCTGATTGGGTTATTTTTTGTTCTTGAATTAATTTCTTTTATTGCCATTATGTATATGTACAGATATTTTCAATTTGTAAAAGACGTTTTTATTATATGAAAACTCTTTTATTTATATAAATTATTACAGTGATGATACTTTTACCATCTACTGACAGTATGAGATATTTGGTTTTCATTTATCTCGATTGCTATCCGTGCTGTGAAATGAGGCATTTGTCTGAAAAAATTATTCTTTGTGAAAATTTTTTTTTTGTGAAAATTATTCTTTGAAAATTATTCTGATTATTCTTTATTACAGATCACAGAAAACGATCATTCGGACGCTCATAACGAAATGGATAACGTTGCCGCATTAGCTGAGAGCATCCAGCCTAAGGGAAATACATTGCTCACTACTAGTGTAAGTTTACTTGTGTTTTATTTTATTAAATCTTATATATATATATATATATATATGTATATTTATTTATTTATTTATATGTATGTATGTTATATGTAAAGAAAAACATATAGAAAGAAATACTTTTCTCATCAAGTATTGCTTTTTTAGTGAAAATTTGTATTTACAAATTTTTGCTTTTTTTAATCATTTCCTTCAGGTACCAAGAAATTCAAATGTTCGCTAAATAATCCTTTCAATCCAAGGTGGTGAAGCAGCAATTTTGCTCACCATCATTTACGAAAGGAAAACTAACAGTGATAAATTTTCCCATGAATAAACATATTTATTTTTTATTCTTGAAAATAATCACTACAAATTTATTAATTATAAAATTTATACATTATGCAGAATATTTTACCATTATCAATTTTTATTATGTTTTATTATTGAAGTGTCAGTAATTTTTAAATTACAAATCTTTAAACGAGAAAAACTCCGTGAATTATGTTTGTTTAAGACCACTTTTTTTATGCCTGTATTTTTTTAATGCATTTAACATTATATTATAACATTATATTTATTTTTAGGTTGTCACTAAAATACCTTTTCTTCTGAAACACTCTCTTCGGGAATATCAGCACATAGGATTGGACTGGCTTGTCACGATGTACGACAGAAAGTTAAACGGCATTTTGGCTGATGAGATGGGTCTAGGTAAAACTATACAAACCATCGCGCTGTTGGCGCATTTAGCCTGCGAGAAGGGAAACTGGGGACCGCATCTTATAATCGTGCCGACTTCTGTAATGCTCAATTGGGAAATGGAATGCAAAAAATGGTGTCCCGGCTTTAAAATACTGACATATTACGGCACACAGAAGGAGAGAAAACAAAAGCGAACGGGTAACTTACATACAACTTTTTAAAACATGTATTTCTCTCTCTTTTTTCCAAGATTTTACTACGATTATTTAGTTATCTAATTATCTTACTCGCTGCCGACAACGGGCGTTAGTTCGAAATGACAATGTCTGTATTATTAATCAGCGAGATAGTAAAATTCTTTTCTCCATTAAAACTCGCGTGTCAAAAATCGATCGTTATTTGACATACGAATCCTGTCTGGAGAAACAATTAATATTTATTGTTTTATTTATTATAATCGTATGGTAATCGTCCGATTGTCATAAAATTTAACATTCTAATCTATATTTGTAGGCTGGACAAAACCAAACGCCTTCCATATATGCATTACGTCTTACAAGTTAGTAATACAGGATCACCAAAGCTTTAGACGGAAAAAATGGAAATATCTTATCTTAGACGAGGCGCAGAATATCAAGAATTTCAAATCGCAGAGATGGCAGTTGCTTTTAAACTTCCAGACACAACGGTAATTAATTTATTACAACATTGTCGCATTGAAATTCCGTTAAATATAACAGTTTAATTTACGCTTTAAAACAAGTTTTAAAGTAAAGAAACATTAAGCCACGTTAAAATATATTAATTTTACGGAATTTCTTGAACTTTTAATCGTAAAAAATATACACTCGTACAAAAAAAATAGGGAACACTTCATAAACCCTAAAAATTAGGCTATTTTCAAACTGCTGTAAGTCGGCGAAAAATTATCGTAAAAAAAAATTTAAAAAAGCATTTTGAAGCTTGAAGTTTCAACTTTAACGCACTTTCGGTGGATTTAAAAAATTTTTTTATTTTCTTTGTTGTACGCCTTAAAAAAGAACACATTGTTTTGTTCCTTAAAATTAACTTATGTTTGACTACTTGAAACTCAATTAAAAATTTTTTTTTCAAAAAATTCAATTAACGTTTCATAAACTACATAATTTTACCTACAAAATGCTTTTTTTTTAATTTTCCTACGATTTTTTTTGACCGATTTACATGACTTTGAAGCAAAACCTGTATTTTTTTAGAAAAAATGACGTAACTCGATGAAAAATCATCGTAGAACAAACAAAAAAAAAGCATTTTAAAGCTCAAAATATCAGCTTTAACGTGGTATTGGTGACTAAAAAAAATTTTTCTGTCTTCCTTGTTTGGTGCTAAAATTAAAAATGTTGATTTATTCCTTAAAATTACACATTTTTAACACTGCAGTTTGATAAAAAAATTTTTTTCACAAAATTCAATACAAATACCACAAACTGTAACATTTTACCTACAAAATGCTTTTTTGAAAATCTTCCTACGATTTTTTTTGACCGATTTTTTTTGTACGAGTGTATATTAATTTTTTAAAAATTTTAAAGTAATGAATTTTTAGATTATACTGATTGTGTTTCATCACTTTAATTAAAATTGATGGAAATTGTTTCACTGAAACATCACTATATCTTTTCGGTTTATCTGTTACAGGAGATTACTTCTTACCGGCACACCTCTTCAAAATAATTTGATGGAACTGTGGTCGCTCATGCACTTTCTTATGCCTAACGTTTTCCAGTCTCATCGCGAGTTTAAAGAGTGGTTTAGCAATCCTGTCACAGGCATGATTGAAGGGAACAGCGAATACAATGAGAATATAATCCGTCGTCTGCATAAGGTCTGTACGTAGTTTTTTTACCTTCTTTCATCTTTTTTTCTCTTTTCCTTATTTAATTTAATTTATAATATTACTGAAGGAATTTGAATTTTATTAGCTTAGATGTACCACTTACTTTTATTTGTTTTATGTATTATATTTAATAAATTACATTCTCCGTAGGTGTTGCGGCCATTTCTCTTGAGACGATTAAAAACTGAAGTGGAAAAGCAATTGCCGAAGAAATATGAGCACGTGGTTATGTGCCGTTTGTCGAAGCGTCAGAGATTTCTGTATGATGACTTTATGTCGAGAGCCAAGTAAGTGAACTCTTTAATGATAGATTGGAAATTGAAAGCTTTTTGAATACAAAGTATTCTTCTCTTATTTTTTACGGATATTGCCTGCATTTGACACTGATTTATCTCATATTGTTAAAGGACGAAGGAAACGCTTGCCAGCGGGAATCTGTTGAGTGTGATTAATGTATTAATGCAACTACGAAAAGTGTGTAATCATCCGAACTTGTTCGAGGTGCGACCGACTGTATCGCCATTCCAAATGGAAGCAATCGAGTTTGTGACCGCTTCGTTAGTTTGGAGCGCGCTTGATTACGATCCCTTCAAGGTAAAAACAACAGAACGCAAATTCACGGCGTTTCTGATTTATTGACTACATACTGAAAACTGAAGTGACCAACTTATTTATCTCTACAAATTGTGATTTGACTTTGCAGCACATCCAACTGTCTAGCCTGAATCTTTTGCTGTTAAATCTGGAGACGACGCTCAGTGCATTCGGTGCGCACAGAGTGAATCGTCTGCGGACGCCTAGGAAGCTTATCGAGGAGATAGATAGCCAACCAGAACCGGCGCCAAGGTGTCCATCCGGCAGGATCAAGATCAATGTTAGATTATCAAATCAAGCGAAGCCGCAACAGCAACAACAGCAAACGCAGACTAGGCTAAAGAATCTGGCTGGCGTACTACCCACGCCAAGAGTGGGTACGTCCCCCTTGATAAAGTCATTAAATACCAGCCAGAGTGGTCCGGGACAAGGTAGGTCCAGACTATTATATCTTATCGCGTTAGTCGTTAACATTTTCATGGCCAATTTATCATTAGTAATTAAATTACATTTTGCAAGTCTCAAAATAGGTACCGATATTAAAGAATTCAAAGTTAGCGATAATAATTGTACCAGTATTATTTAAAAAATAAAATATATTGATTGTGTATGTACGTAAAACATATGTATGTGCTAGTATTGTTACAAGATAACAAATGCACTGATATAAGTAAAATAATGATAGAATTGCAACTTTTTTAAAATTGTGAATTATGTTAAAGGAGTTGTGAGATTTTATATTTTTTTATTTGGAGTCTAGTTGCCAAACCTATAGTAATGAAGAGAGGAAATAACCGAAATGAAATATTTCTATTGGTCATGAAAAGATTAACGCACTCGAGAAAACCTCGCACATGAGAAAACCCTTATCCCGGGCTACGAGGGAAGCATTTTAACAGGATTATCTATGTATAATGCAATACAAATTGTAATTTTATATTTAGAAGATATTTTTATTAGTTATAATTAAAGAAGAAAGAATCCCTTAAAATTTATGTGAATAATCAAATTAATGAAAGACTAATTAGATACATTGACATTAGATGCGCATTTATATTTGAAATTAAATGTTTTTATAATATATATATTTAAGAAGTGACTCCACATTTACATGATTAATTGTATTGTTCAACTACTTCATATTGACAAAGAACAAAAAAATATTGAATCTATTGAATTGTTGAAAATTTCCTTGTGAATGTGGACATGAGACACCGTTAATGCATCCGATTATATTAAATAAATTTTTTATTAATTTTAAGTTATTTTGTTTCTTATAATTTCTCAGCGATTTCATTGATATATTTAAAGTCAATGTGTGTACATTCATATTATCACTCAAACATGAAATTCAACAACTCTTTATTCTTAGGTGTTACATTGAGAGTCGCGGGTGGTCAACAATTGCAAGGTTATTCCCTGCAACTGGTGCCGCATCAGGGTAGCGTGAAAGGTAAGCGACTTTTGTTTTGTTTTTAACTCATTTTTAATTAGTACGATATGTTACAAATTTATAACAAATTTTACAGTCTGTACTCAATCGTTTTTCATTACGCTTTTTTTTTCACTCTTACATAAAAAAATATTCGAATTTCTTTAATTAATACTTTTTATTTAGTTTTCTGTGTAAAACATGTTAAATGAATGTAATGTGAATTAATTCGCGAAAAAATTGTTCTCCTTTGATTGCTTCTAACTCATAAAGATAACTCTTTTGATTGATATAGACTTTTTTAAACCCACAATAGGCGTAATACATTCATTTCTGAAATTTCATGGGCAGTGAAAAGTAGCAGCAGATCGTACTGATTGGCTACAAAATAGAGAAGTTCTAGGAACTGGAGAACTTTTCTATTTTATAGCCAATCAGTACAATCTGCTGCTGCTTTTCACTGCCCATGAAATTTCACCTTTAATGTTCCTATATCTATATCTATAATTTTGTGACATATCCGAATATATCGTTAATTTAATTTCTTTGTATTATATTTTGGGTAATTACACATATAAACATAAAATTAATACGAATTTATTATGCATCATAGATCAGTGACTGTCGCTGTGAATTTCTTGCTAGACAATTACTCTTGCAGTGATGCTAGAATAATTATTCCTTGGGCCAGCTTGTTTATAATCTTACCGTTTATAAGCATTCTAGAACTAAGGACACATTCTTAAAAAAATTAATCTTTCTAACAACTAAGAACGGTCGGAAGTGTCCCTCATTGATTTTGATGGGCTTTGGATATGTAGACTGTAAAGCATAAAAAAATATTAGACCCATATTTTTTTTAGCTACTTATCTCAACGTTTAGGGAGTAAAACACCTTTTAAAAAAAATCAATTTTTATTAAAAAATAAAAATTAAAAAAAAATGTTTTGTCATTGTTTTAAGGTACTCTTCAAGCCATTCAATTTCTATTTTGGAAAATTTTTCTACCTTTGGTAGTTTCGGGGATAGTCGGTTCGAAAGAGAAAAACCGATTTTTTTCAAAGGGATGTTTTACCTCCCAAACGTTGAGCTAAGCAGTTAAGAGAAATATGGATCTAATATTTTTTGATGCTCTACAACATATCCAAAGTCTATCAAAGTGAATTGCGTAATATATTTGGATATATTTACTATATTTATATTCGTATTATTCACATTTTGCTGAAAACACATTAACGTCTGAATATTTTCGAAAAAATTTAATTATAATTAGTTTTTATATAAGTGATAACAAATCTATTAGCAACAATATATATAATAAAATATATCAAAACTGTATTTAATAAAAAGTATAAAATATAAATGTTCATAAAATAGCTATTCCTGTGGCAACATTGGGGCACAATCCGCAAAGTACCACCGTGACGTCGACCACAGCAGCGACGAACGCGCAAAGGATTACAGTAGGAAACGCTAGCATCAGAGATGGCATTCAACGACTAACGACACAGACCGTCACGGTCAAGCAAGGCGATTCCGTCCAAAGAATAGCGGTGCCTAGCGGTTTCGCGCAACTCGTTCAAACTTCTACCGGCAGACACTTCATTCTGACGCCGAGTCAACAGAACACTAACACAGGTTTGTTTCCGCGATTTGCTTACAATTTTTATCATTATTTTCGTAAACTCTGTAAGCTTGTTAGCAGTAACCAACGGATTAAAAAAAAAAGAAGTAACACATTTTGTATCGACAGTTTCGTTTCCAGTCATGACATCGAGCGGACCGCGTTTAACGGTGCTGTCTAAATCGCTGATGGGTTTGTCTACGTCGGGTGCCACGACAGTAAACAAGGTCGTCAGTGGAGTAGTGACAACTCCGAGCGGCCGACCTGTCATGAGGGTACCTCCTCTGAACGTAACCGCTTCGCAATCGTCACCAAGCGGAAACAACGGCCAGCAGACAGTCAACCAGCAACAACCACAGTCGATACGTGGTATTGTCCCCAGACAGGCTCAGAAGGAGGTCGCGAAGGCACAGAGTAAAGAACAGCCGAAATCCGAGTTTTATTTGGTAATTAAACATAGATATTAATAATTTAATCTTTTCTAAGAATAATTGAGGAATTTGATAGCATAGTTAACTCTCAAAGAACTCGCGTTAGGGCTCGTGGGTACTCGCCGCTTCTATCCTTGTTTGATGACATCAGAAACGACGAGTATCCAGGAGCCTTACTCGAACTAACTCGGTTCTTCTTTAGTTTATTCTTTCTTTTCATTTTTAACAAAAAATAAACAAAGTTTCAATTTTATCTAATGGATTTTACATCTAAATGTTAATTATTTCATTAGGTGCACTCAATTAACAGAAAATTTTAATTTATTATTTTGTAGCCGCAATTGGAAGAGGATAGGAGGCAGAGGAGACAGGCTAAATTGCATCTCTTGGCAAATATCAACGAACGAAGATGCGCGGCATGTCCGCTTTACGGTGAAGATCTGTTTATGGCTTTGAGAATCGGCAAGCCCACGACAGCCTGTCGTTGGCACAATGGTTGGGTACATTGCGCGACAAGTAAGGAGAAGATTCGTACTCGGAAAGAGTTCTTTTCGCACACGGAAGCGCTCGCGGAAGCTATCAAAAGTACGGAGCAGATTGTTGAAGAACTCAAAGAGGTTTTTGAAAGGTTAATATCTGACATAATTTATAAGTGTAATCAATATCCAGAATAATTTTACACTAAGCCTTAACATATTTTGATATTTGGTTAATATTAAATGTTTGTTAACAAACATTTAATTAGATATTATTTTTTCTTAATTTCCAATATTAAATATTCTGGTATTTAAGCTTCAAAAATTACAATTCTATCAAAGTAGTGATTATTTGAAATTAAGCTTTTGAAAAATAAGATTCTGCTGTCTTTACCATTCAGATCGCTATCTTTTCTGGAATTGAATAAAGTTTTCCTTGTTTTTCAATATACTTGCAGATATGTAGTCTACGTGCCAGCTGTACGCGCGCCAGTACCTCGGTTCCATGTGTCTCATCCACCACCGCACAAGCTGTGGGGCGAGCAGCGTCTGTGGACCGAATTGCAGCGGCAACTGTCGCCGAAATTATCTCTATTCCATCCGATTTCGGGCCTTATGCTTACACAGTTTCCTGATCCCAGACTGATCCAGTACGATTGCGGCAAACTTCAGTCGCTGGATCGTCTGTTGAGGAAGCTAAAATCTGGAAATCATCGGGTCCTCATATTCACACAGATGACCAGAATGTTGGACGTATTAGAAGCCTTTTTGAATTTCCATGGACACATATATCTGCGATTGGACGGCACCACTAGGGTGGATCAACGTCAGGTAGTTTGATGTGCCATTAACAAAATGCTATAATATTACAGTTTATTGCACGAACATTTAAACTCTTAAGGGCCGTCTACAATAGCCGAAAGAGTATGCGGTAAGACATAAGCAGTAAGCTATTGACCAACCATAGTCGATTATTCTTGAATTGTAAAAATCCCATTAGTCAAATAGCTTACTGCTTACGTCTTACTTTTACGGCTATTGTAGACGGTCCTTTAAACTGTTGATCTTGTTTGAAATTTTAATAATTATTGAGAGCATATTAATTTTTGCTGAAGTTTTGAAAAGGTATACATATAACGATTAATTTTATGAGCCTAACAAGAAAAATAAAAAATTTTATACATGCAAGACACATTTTTGTTGCAAAATTAAATGAAAGATATCAATAGGTTCAATAGATCACTATTCTATGTGCAGGTTTTGATGGAAAGGTTCAACGGCGATAAACGAATATTTTGTTTTATTCTATCGACGAGATCTGGTGGTGTCGGTGTGAATCTGACGGGAGCGGACACAGTAATATTTTATGACAGCGATTGGAATCCCACAATGGATGCCCAAGCGCAAGACAGATGCCACAGAATAGGACAAACGCGGGATGTACATATCTACAGGTACACAGCGTGAATTAATAATATAAATATGATAGAAAAAAATAAATTAATAATTTTTAAAACGTAGGATATTTTATTGATAAAAAAAATATCTAATTGTATTAATATTAAAAATAGTATATTACACTATAAGG